CCCAGCCGTAGAGGCCGAGGCCGGGGCTAAGGCCGCGGCCTCGAAGGCTGCTCCGCCATGACCTCCAGAACTGCCTGCACCACCATGGCCTCCGGTGTTCCCTACCCCGCCATGGCCTCCGGTGTTCCCTACCCCGCCATGGCCTCCGGTGTTCCCTACCCCGCCATGACCTCCTGTGGTCCCTCTTCCGCCTTGGCGCCCAGAGCTGACAGATCCACCATGGTGCCCCGCTCTGGAGGCCTCCCGTCTGGGAACCCTACTCCTAGAGGTCTCCAGAGCGCCCACACCCCCCTCCCCATTGGATGTTTTGGTGGCATGAGGACATGCCTTCTGGGAGGGGGGAGTAATGTCAGACTCTGGGCCAGGTTTTGTGTGTGTCTTTGCTCCCTATGTGCTCCGTCATCCAGTTTCTCTGTCTCGTGTTTTGAATTCATTGTTCCCAGGTGTTTCCAATGTTAATTGTCATTAGTTCCAGGTGTCCCTTGTCTTCCCCTCATCAGTTCCTGTGTATTTAAAGTGTGTTCTTGTCCTTTGTCAGTCGTTAAAAGTCATCCTGATGTGTCGAGTCCTGTGATCCCAAGCCTTTGTTCAATAAACCCTTTTGAGTTACTTTACTCCGTGTCTCCTCGCTCCTTCGTTCCCTTGTTCCTCGTGTGTGTGAACCGTGACAACCTGTGTCTTAATTTCTTCTCTTGCAAAAGTTAAACTTAATATTTTATTTTGCTAAAACTGCAGGGAGACTATTACGTTTCTGTAACAGCAGGTTTGTAAATGTTTCTTATGGCAAATCAAGTGAAATGCAGTAGTCATCCACTGTAATCATTAGTGAAAATATTAAAGTCTTTGGGACAAATCTATGTCATTGGCCAATATATTTATATATTCTTTTTACATACAATATATCAATAATATTAACAAAATCATTACATTTAAATGAGCTTTCCATTGATTTATGGTTTGTTAGGATAGGACAATATTTGGCCAAGATACAACCATTTGAAAATCTGGAATCTGAGGGTGCACAAAAATCTAAATATTGAGAAAATCTCCTTTAAAGTTGTCCAAATGAAGTCGTTAGCAATGCATATTACTAATGATAATACGGTTTTGATATATTTACGATAGGAAATTTGCAAAATATCTTCATGGAACATGATATTTACTTAATATCCTAATGATTTTTGGCATAAAAGAAAAATTGATCATTATACCCATACAATGTATTTTTGGCTATTGCTACGAATATACCCGTGCTACTTCTGACTGCTTTTGTGCTCCAGGGTCACATTTGGTAGTAAGGTCTTGTTTTAGCACGTCATTCAGATACAGAGGCTAGTTAATAGAGTTCATTCCGTTCCTGAAATCCACAAGTAATCACTTTAAATGCAAATGTGAATCAGACTTGTTGTCCTTTATGACACTGAACATCATACATTTAAAATTTCTGTGATGCTTTCAACATTAAATAAAATCAACAGTAGCTCCAAATTAGATGATTACAAGGTATTTAATAAAGCATCATGGTCATAAAATTGAATTTCCTCCGTAAATTTCTATCTACAGTTATCAAACATCTGTATCCTAAATGAACATGAAATGCAGACAAAGATTCTACGATTGTAAGATTGATTGTATGAAGAAGAAAAAAAATGCACAACAACACAACATTTACCCCTGTTTGCATCTGCAAAGCTTCCATTACACACTTTTCCTGTGCTTTAATGCCAATGTTTATGACATGTTGAATTATAAACCTATTTACAGATGTGTTGGATGCATCTGTTGTGAGATGTGTAATGTAATGTGCATTATTGCCCAACTTTCTGAAGTCAGGGCAAATTATTTTATATTTGGAATAGATTTTTCTCTGAATGCCTGCATAGTTATGGCAGAAGGTGAGGAAGTGTTGCTCCATTTCTACTATGTGGGCTGTTATCTTCCCATCTCTAGCCAGAGTGTGATCGTTGAACCTCTCCACTCCACCCACTTGTATTCACACTTAGAGAAACGTCTTTCTTGTTCATAAACAGATTAAGCAACACTTCAACAGAAAGGTACTGCTTCTTTTATTATTATTATTATTATTGTTTTATTGATTATTAGTTTTTTAATGGAAATATATAGCAGAATGTAAGATTTATAAATGCACTCTTTAATGGTAGTGGCTTTCATTTTCACCTTGTTTTCACCCTACGCCCAATGACAAACTTTATGTTGTAACAATGTGCAAATTTCCCCACAAAAGCAAAATATATTTATTTTAAAATGTAATTATTATTCAGCTTGCATTAATATGTTGCTTTTGGATCTTTCACTGATTAAAACATGTATTTAATAATTATTGAAGTTTTTATGAACAGAACTAAAACACCCGGAGACATAAAAACCTGTTCTGCTAGTTCAATGTACAAAAGAGTGATCACATGGTGTAGGCTGAAATGTCTGATAAATTGCAGATGTAGTAAGGTTTACTTATAGTGCTTTATACAGTACAGATTTCTTCAGCAGCTTTACAGTAAAATAAGTGTCAGAGTTTTTCATTTTCAGGAATATTCATTTCAATTACTGAATCTGGGGACCCTTAGGATAAAATAATATATCTTAAATTATATAGAATAAGATACCATTAACTTTTAAATCCAAAGTAAAAATTTCATGGGGTGTTTTGTGAAGTGTTTTTAGTTTTGGGTGACCTAACTAATGCAGTATAAAGGGAAGTGTTAGAACAAATGTTTGCAGTTGCTTTGTAAATCATACTCCATACCCCTAAACCAGTTTTACAGGTGACTTGTCTTCTTTACAATGCTGCATCTCCTAGACAACAGTCTAAAAATTAGCCAGGGGCTAAATGTAACCTCTCATCAGAGCATAAAACAAACATCTATGCAACATTAGTAACACTGTTACAGTATACAATAACAGCTGATCTTTCTCGCGTCTCAATTTTTATTTATTTATTTTAGTTTTTTAAAATCAATCAATTTTTCAAACCTGAACTGAGTGTGAATTGTGAATGCATGTAATTGCCCACAGGGCGATGAACAGTGAGACCGAGGCCACAAGGACGCTCAGATGAGCTGAAGCACTGCATAAAGACACTCGCGACATCAGTGGACGACACAATGGCCGACAGTGAAGGCAGATGTGAGTTAAATTTTCATGATCAGTCCTCTTAATATGTTTGTCAGTCTAGTTTTAAAGGCTAAATACAGTCAGATTTACACAACAGTTTGGTTATTAATGAGAGTGACAACTGTGCTTAATCCCCTAAACCAGTTTTACACGTGACTTGTCTTCTTTACAATGCTGCATCTCCTAGACAACAGTTTAAAAATTAGCCAGGGGTTAAATGTAACCTCTTATCAGAGCATAAAACAAACATCTATGCAACATTAGTAACACTGTTACAGTATAAAAAAACAGCTGATCTTTCTCGCTTCTCAATTTTTATTTATTTATTTTGTTTTGTAGAATCAATCAATTTTTCAAAAAAACATTTCTGAAATGAGTGTGAATTGTGAATGCATGTAATTGCCCACAGGGCGATGAACAGTGAGACCGAAGCCACAAGGACGCTCAGATGAGCTGAAGCACTGCATAAAGACACTCGCGACATCAGTGGACGACACAATGGCCGACAGGGAAGGCAGATGTGAGTTAAATTTTCATGATCAGTCCTCTTAATATGTTTGTCAGTCTAGTTTTAAAGGCTAAATACAGTCAGATTTACACAACAGTTTGGTTATTAATGAGAGTGACAACTGTGCTTAATAACCAAACTGACCAGTGGTATCGGACCGGGGGAGATGGTGAACATGAGCTTCAGGGGCCCACAGAATATTTGACCAGATCAACAAATCCGTGACTACCTTTAAACTTTGCTTTATTTAATCCTTATTGGTGCAACCCATCCTTAGAATCATTATTAACAGCATTAACCGTGCATAAGTTTATTGAGGTGTGATTGGGTGTTGCATGAGTGTCCCCATAATTGAACCATGGACTATATGCTAAACAACAGCATTTATTGTAAACAAAATTATTATATTTTATTTGTTGCCTCTGTTTATATTTAAACATGGTTATGGTATTTAACAACCAATCAGAAATTAGACTCATTTAAGTGTAATGAACCTTAACCCATTTGTGCCCAAATTTTTCTGAATGGTTTCATGCATATAGTCATGTTAATAGTGTCCTATGTGAACATGTTCTGCATTTATTTTCCCCAGGTTTATTTTTTATTTTTTTCTTGAAAATCGTATTTGAATGTGCGTGCAGCCATTAAGTTGCCTCAACAGGGTATTGTGTATCAAAAAGTTAAATGAAAATTCATAAATAAAAATAAATAGATTGAAGAAATCTATATAATAAAAAAGGTATACCTGAAAGAAAATTACACATTTAACTGTTTGCTTACCAACATTCTGCAAAATATCTTCTTTTGTACTCAACAGAAGAAAGAATCTCATAGGTTTGCAACTTGAGGGTGACTAAATGATGACACAATTTCCATTTTTGGGTGAACTTTCCCTTACGTAAGCAGTTTTAGCA